GTGCAGGTAGGGAAGTTGGTCACAGTGATATCAGCAGTACTAGGTGTCAAGTTTCTAGGGCATAAGGACAAAATCAGGAGTTTCATTCACATTCTCCTTTATGCATACCAGTCAGGCAGCTATGACAAATATACAAAAGAGCAATGAGGAGAATATGGGGGAGAGGGATTTGGGGAAGCTTACGCAGAAGAAGAATTCTAAGCAGGTTTTGAAAGACGGGTAAAATTTTGACAATAATGAGGGAAAAGGCACGCTAGGCTGAGCAGACAAGACTAAAGGTAAGGACATGAGAAAGGCACTTTCTGGGGAAGGTGTCTGGGAAATGGCAAGTAATCTGGAATGAGTAAGGCACAATGAAGAAACTGGAAAGGTAAGCTGTGGGCAGATCAGGGAGACTCCTGAATGTCAGTTTAAATTTGGATTTTATCGTACATATGGTGGAGTGATATCTTCTAAAGCATACATTTTTTTCAGTAGCAGGATAGGCTGTAGGGGAAAGGGACCAAAGGGCAGACAGGTAGGTTACAATAGGGACAATGATAATCTGGAAGAGTTCCACACCAGTGGGTGTGGAAAGTAGAATTAACCATTCTCAGAAGTAATATAATCTGGCAGCATTTGGATGTGGGAACAGAGAGAGAGAATTTGACCAATGGAATGATATAATCCCTAAAAAGGTAGAAGAAAAAACAACTTTGAAGGAGAAATGATGAAATCAGTATACTTGGGGGACACTGGCAGCTGAGAACATTGTAGGTTTATAGCCTAGGAGACTATAATAATTTGGAAACCATATACACTAAGGTGAAAACTCAGGGAATGAAGGAGATAATGAAGGAAATGCTCAAAGTGAGAAGAAAACGTGGTGAAAGGCAGAACTGAGGAAAATGCCTCAAAGGTGAAGTCACTTAATTTCACTGTCATTTCTCTCTTGCTTCTCAATGAAAGGGAAGTTGATGGGTAGCTCAACCTTAATTCTTCCCAGTTTCTTAAAAGTATTACTCAAAGACTCAAAAGAACACCCCAAAATGTGGTTATCTTTACTAAAATCCATTAACACAAAGCTATTCTCGGTACTCTGAATTCCCTATAAGTTTATTACAGACTATCAAACACTAAATGTTGCACGTTCATTTACTAAATGTGTAACTGTGAAGATGTATCTATGATCACCATCTAATATGTTCTCTGTTGGATTTCACAGGTCAGAAATTTTATAAAATGTTAACCTTATAATGAATGAATATAGGTGTATGTGGATGGATATATATGAAATACATATATATCCCATTACATATAGGACAAATAAGGATAATATTTATATATGATCCTTACTTAACAGGATATAAAATCCTTGGCCAGTAGTGAAACCTGACATTCACAGATTACTACTGGGTAGTGGCAAGAGCATAGGCTCTGGCACCAGACTACTCGGTTTAGTATCCTGGCCCTGTTTTAGGTGATTCTGGGACAAGGTACTTAACCTTGTTTGTGCCTCAATTGCCTCACCTATAAAATAAAAGTAGTAACTGTATCTACCTCATAAGTTGTTGTGACGATTAAATGGAATATGTATAAAGTGTTTATAACACTGCTGGCACATAGAAAGTACTCAATAAGGCTGGGCACAGTGGCTCACGCCTGTAATTGCAGCACTTTGGGAGGCTGAGGCAGGCAGATCACTTGGGGTTAGGAGTTCAAGACCAGCCTGGCCAACATGGTGAAACCCCATCTCTAATAAAAATACAAACAATTAGCTGGGCATGGTGGTGCTCACCTGTAATCCCAGCTACTCGGAAGGCTGGGGCAGGAGAATCACTTGAATCCAGGAGGTGGAGGTTGCAGTGAGCCGAGATCGTGCCACTGCACTCCAGCCTGAGTGACAGAGCAAGACTCCATTTCAAAAAAAAAAAAACAAAAAAACCAGAAAGTACTCAATAAATACTAGCTATTATTATAAGCTATTACTCACTGCAAACAGAATATAAGCTATTGTTTACTGCATACAATAGAATAAACGTTTTCATAAAAAACTATTTTCTATGTAAGATGCGTTGCAAATATTAAGACTAGCTTGTCAGGAAGCTAATATTAACCACTTGAGATACCATTTCCAAAGAAAAGTATCTTGGAGATAGAACATAATTCTTTAATTGTGCTTTGATTTTTTTCCCTAAGAGAGAGCAGGCAACACATCTGGTAAGCTAACAATTCTTTTTTTTTTTTGAGACAGGGTCTCGCTCTGTCACCCAGGCTGGAGTGCAGCAATCATGGCTCACTACAGCCTCTACCACGTGGGCTCACCTGATCTTCCCAACTCAGCCTCCTGAGTAGCTGGGACTACAGACATGCGCCACCATACCCAGCTAATTTTTCTATCCTGGGCTTAAGCGATCCTCTCACCTTGACCTCTCACAGTGCTGGGATTACAGGCATGAATCACCATGCCTAGCCCCTAATGCCAGTTTTTGTTGTTTTTTCCGTGAGACAGAGTTTCACTCAGTTGCGCAGGCTGGAGTGCAGTGGCGTGATCTCAGCTCACTGCAACCTCCGCCTCCTGGGTTCAAGCGATTCTCCTGCCTCAGCCTCCCGAGTAGCTGGGATTCAGGCACAAGTCACCACGCCAGGCTAATTTCTTGTATTTTTAGTAGAGACGGGGGTTTCACCATGTTGGCCAGGCTGGTCTTGAACTCCTGACCTCGGGAAATCCACCCGCCTCGGCCTCCCAAAGTGCTGGGATTACAGGTGTGAGCCACCATGCCCAGCCCATGTCAGTTCTTAATATAAACCTTCAGTTACAGGTACGCTAAACACTAATATATCATGACTTATATTGCTTTTAGCTTGTTACAATAAGCTATTTATAAATGTATAATTTTTACTTGTATTGCTGCATCAATAGGAATTGCTCTGAAGGCAAGGTGTAACTAATTAATATATAATTATTTACTTAATTTAGTACATTGCCTAATTTAACAGACTAGTTATATCTTGTTCAGTCAGATGTGTCCTACAGAAACTGTAATCTACTTGTTAGCATCTATTTAGCTATTTATATGAAATATGACTAAGGACCCTCAACTCCGTTAAAAATGTGTCCTCTCTGACTTTTAAAGTTAGCCTTGTCAGCTCAATAGTTCTTTCCCAGTCAGCCTCTAACTGATGTTAGACTGCCCTCCTGTTGTTTATAAGACTAGGTTAATATAATTTCAACTAAAGCTCCAATGCTCATATCCCTATTTTCTTATAAGAAGACAATACCAAATCTGATAATGTAAATAAAATGTTTCCACCTGAACAAAACACAGTGAAATTTCACAAGGTTAAACTAAATTAGAAAGGTGAAACAGTACCTCAGTTTAAAATGGCTTTAAGGAATTCATAGCTGTCAAGATGACATGATTCTAAATGAAAGAAGAAAGTTTTTTTTTTTCTTTCAGAAAACAATTCACAGCAACTTGCCACAGTATATGATGCAGAATAAATGTTGAAGCAAAATGAAATTAAAACAACCTAAAGTCTTGTTTTACACTAAAAATAGCAGCTCTGAGGCTATAAATTCTCACTGCAACATCCGACAGTTAGCCTGATTCTATTTCAGAATATACCTTTTCAAATTTATTATGAAAACTTCCAGGACATTTATTACAATACATGCTTATTACCATTGTTAGTATACTCTTTATGGTTACTAAAATGACTTGTTATTTGTGCTAGATTCTATACTCCTGAGGGCAGGACTATGTCTGCCTTGTTTGTCAGTGTGTCCCCAATGCTAGAATAATGCCTGGAGCATGGTAGGCATGCAATAAACGTTAATGAGATAAGAAAATAGCAATTTATAAGTATTTGAAAATACTTAAGATAATTCTTTTAAAAAAGTTCTTTTCATTCATCACACATTGGCTGCACTGCACGTGGAACTTCTATCCAGGCTCTATCCAGGCGCTGTGCTAGGCTCTGGGACTACAGTACATAGATAAGACTTTTTGTTTGTTTACCAAAGAGGAGCCCAGAAAGAGTCCTGTAACCAGACAATTGCAATGCACTACAACATGATACATTTAAAATATTCAGGCAAGTGTTGTGGGAGCCTAGAAGATGAAGCAATTTAGCTTTACCTAGGAGAGCTGGGGAGAGCTTCATCTGAGGTTGTGACATCTGAGGCTGACCTTAAAGGACGAGTAGGAGTTTGCTAGACAGAGAAAAAAGCAATCTAGGTAGAGGGAAAGGTAGCAAAGTGTTCTGGGGTCCTGAAAGAGAGGTTCCAGAGGGCTGAAGCACTTGCTGTGAATAGTATGAATAAAAATAACTACGCTCCTTGCATCTGAGGTCTGAGCTGGAGGAAAAATCACCTAATATATAATAATTACTAAGTCCTGCTTTTAACTATATAACTAGTTATATAATACTATAAACATTTGCTTTATTGTGTTTCAAATATGTAAACCACTTAGATAATTTATCTAACTCTTTTTTTGTGGAGCGTTTTGGACTACTCTGAGAGTTGAAAATGGGAAAAAAAAGTTCACCTGTCAGGTGACACAAAACCAATTTCTACTAAATGTGCCAGAATAATTTTTCTCCACCTCAAGAAAAGTCTTCAGTCTATTCATTACTGTCTTTTTATAGTATTTTTATTTAATAAAACCTATTAAGACTACCATACAAATCTCTTTACTTATGCTTTTATCTTTTAACTGATCAATTTTTATATTGCTGACATCCCTTCTTCACCATTTGCTCATTTAAAAATTCATAGTATGTGAGATATGTCTCTGGGGAAAATGTCTATAAAATTTGTTACAGCTGGCAAATGTGTATGAGTCAGTGATAGCACAAGACTAAATGCTTCACAGAAAATAAAATTTGTTTCTGTAGTAAGCAGAACTGTTTAAATGTTATTTATTTTTATGTTTCAAAGAAAATATATTGTGAAGTGCTGCATTGATTTAATACGCAACAATGTCTGTGTACACGCTGTAGAAGGAAAATTTATGAAACCTTTGCACAACTCCTTTAATTGAATTTTCCAAATCTCTCACCACACACAAATAATCAATATCTTCTGCAGAGAAAACCAGCCAGAATTATTATAGTCTTTCTTTTCAATTTTGTTGTCATCAGCACATACAGAGCACCTGGATATTTGTAATGTCTGATAGCAAGTTATTTACACCTTTTAAACACCTAATTGCTATTAAGTGAGTCCAACTCTATAGTTTAAAATTTTTTCTACTGATTTTATTTGAAAGAAAAATTATCATACTTCTGTTAAAGTATAAAAAATTTAAATCATGAAAGAAGTATTTAAAAGGCTATAAAAAGTAATAAACCTGCTTATTTTTACTTAAATCCTAGACAAATCTCAAGTATGCATTTTTAGCAGGTGAAATGCATACCCCAAAACAAAGACAAATCGTGTAAAACAAGAGCATTAACATTATTAATAGGAAAGGTTATGACTCACATATGGCATACATGATAGCTGAATCATTATAAAGAGCTGAGGACTACAGTTGTACATTAATGCATATTTGTGCTATCAAAATTAATGGCTCCATTTTTTATCTCCAGATAAATCCAGAACGTTAAAGCATAGGGGGAATTTCTGTTGTTTCTCCTAAAAGTCGTCATGTCTAAACTTCAAACCTCAGTGCTTTTAAAACTGAAGTATCTGTTTGAAAAAAATACATTGTTTAATGTTAAGATAAAATAGAAAACTAAAAGGGTAGTAGTCTTCTGGGAGTGAAATTATTCAGCTGATATGATGAATACTTTTTCAAGCCTGAGTGGGGGAAAGAACAACATATTTTTATGTTTAAAAAATACTTCAGTGGGTGGTTAGAATGAAGAGGCAAACTATTTTATAGTGTTACAACAGAAAGACTTTTAAATTTGTCCTGTTGTCTAAGAATTTGATAACCTTAAAATCCTATAACCAAGATGAATTTTACTATGTAAGAATACAGAAAATTAACTAAAGAAAACAGGAACATTGTAGATTATGCTTTTTAAAACAGACCAAAGTTGGAAATTCTGAAATATTTTCTATTACAAACAGCTGAAACATTGAACAATGTAAAGTTCAGATGGTTCCATTTCATTTAAAATATGCATACTGCAACCTACACAATTATTCTCAAAACAGATAAAATATGTTTTGGACTGAAGCTAAGTGTCTAGATTTCATATCCTGGCAACTGCTCTACAATTTGCTTACATTCTTTTCAAAAACATTTTGTTTATTGGAAGTACTAGTCAAAGACCAACAATGATGGTATTTTTTAGTATCTTCAGAAAAAACTGAAAATATTAAGTACTATAGAATGCCATCTATTGACTAAGGAATATCTGTAACAAGTTGTTTTAAGGAGAGGTTGATTATGTAAAATAAATAAATTTCATGCCTCACCATGTGATGATAATGTGACATTCCATCTGTATCAGCCCACTGAATGGTCATATGTTTTAAATCTTCAGCATAACAAATTTAAAATAATTATGAAAATTCACATCCAAATCTAACACAAAAAGAACCTTTCATTTCATTATTTTCCTAATAGTCATAAAGCCAGTGTTATTGAAGAAAGCAAAATTAGGCTTATTTCCTAAGTAACTGAAGAAAGAAAGAAGCCTTCCTTTGTTTAAGAAATCTGTGTTTAGCAGAGGAGATCCTCTTTTATTCATATGCTCTCATCAAGGCATCCCCTGATTTACCAGGTCCAGTTCTTATGACACTATGCAAATCTCAGTGTGTCTTTTAATTTTATTGTGTATGTTTTAAATTTCTCTTGAATAAGTTATATAAAGCCTTAAGAATCTGTGTCAGATGTCTATTTAAAATACTAGAGTGTTATTTTTACAATTATACTCTTCCTGTAATAAAGACTGTAACTGAAGTTAACTGAAATGAAAAACTAAATATTAGTAGAACTAAAAGACCAATTAGAAGAGGCAATGATAGCATAAATATTGAAATTCTCATGGTATTGTCTGCTTTAACTATTCCAGGAAAATTTTGTAAGAATCTGAAAGACCAAAAAACAAACAAACAAACAAAAAACAAAAAAACCCCACCAAAAACGCAGAAGAATCTGAAGGACATTCTTTTGATAGTGAAACAAGTAATTGGCTTATTCTCATTTTCATAATTAATAAATCCTATACATATTATAGGGATGATTTTTATTTTACTTATTTTCTAATATTATGAGAAACTCCCAAAACATTTTAAAATTTAAACAATTCTGTGTAATAGCATAGTAAAAATAAATAAATAAACAAATAAATAAATAAAAGAAAGTGGAAATTTCAAGGCCAGAATAAGGCAGAATAAGGAACATATAAAGCAAACTAGTTTGAGATGTCAAAAGAATTAGCAAAATCCTCTTAAAATGAATGTATGAGCAGAAAAGGGTAAAAGCTGTTAGTTTACTAAAAAAATTTACATGTGTGTGAACGTTTGTGTATGTACATAATCATTAACCAAAAATAAAAAACCAAACAAAAAACCCTGAAAACTAATATGTATATTAGGAACCAGAGAAAGAGGTAGGAAAAGCACTCAGGATATAGCTCAAACTCAAATTACAACAAAAATAAGCTTTAATCTATTTTTTAGGCAATATGAATTTCCCAAAATTAGCTGAAAACCTAATGAAGTTTTTAAAACCTTGGGAAATATAAAGAGCTAATGTAGCTCCTGCCAAGAAACAGAATTGGACGATGACTATATAGAATACACATTAATATATAACATACTTATATAGATACTATGTATTATATATTTTTAAACTGAGTTTTCATTTAAATCAATGATTATTAGAAATTTACAAACATGGTTTAGTCATACAGTCTCCTCTATGCAGGAACTCAGTCCTTTGGGAAAATCTGGTAACGGGCAAGTCAGCCTTAATGCCTAAAATAATAGAAAAGAGTTTTAAGGCTGATCATGCATAAACACACAATGAATTCATGTATTTTAGATGGCCATAAGGAAATGAAAAAAGTATCCCCTGGAAGGAAAAATATTTTAATAAAATATAAATTTAAACAAATTTTTTACATTATTAGCATTGACAGTTCACTTATTTATTCCAGAGTTTTCCGCTTCCTTATTTCTCAAAGCTGTTTGCAAAAGTCAACTATGTTAAGCCTAATTCTAATTAGTTCTAGGAAGTTACAGATTTTTAAAGAAATCACACTATTGGTATAGAGTATGTAGAAGCAAGATTTCTTCCAATTGGGAAATAATAAACATTTTGCTTTCCTACTGTGATCCTTTAAAACTTGTCAAGTTAGGAGAGATTGAAACCACTGAAACCCAGTTACACATTCTAATCAAGTTACACAACTAAAGTAAGACACAAGAGGCCAGGTGTGTTGGCTCATGCCTGTAATCCCACTTCACTAATCATCACTTCAGCCTGGGTGACAGGGTACAATCTTGTCTCTAAATTTTTCTTTTCTCTTTTTCTTTTTTTTTTTTTAAAGAAGAGATCCCAAGCCATTTCCAAGAAAGAGTTACCTTTCATGTTCTTAAATTCTTGGCATCACAGTAGATGTTAGTTGTTCAACTGAAAAGCTCAGGAAGTCTATTCAGCTCCCTTCCCACATGAACTTTGGAGGAGTCTTGCCATGGCTGCAGCCCTGCCATGACCCAGCTGGCCTTTAGATCTGACTGCCTGGCAATCCCAGCACTTCCCATTGCCAACCCATCACTGGCTTATTAAAGGTTCTAAACCCAGGCTAACATACCAGATTGGCTGAAGCAGTTTCAATTATGTGCTATGTTTGAGTCTGAAAGCTGGGATGATTGGATGATTTCATTTGTTTTAGGAAGGGACAACAAAGAATAATGAAAAGACCAGAGTTTTTGAGGCCAGACTGGTCTTTGCTTGGAATCCTTGCTCTGTTACCTAAGTAGAAGTCTTGGGCAAGTTACTTAATATTTTTTGTATCTTTGTTCCTTGTCTATAATGACAATGATAATACAGTGTAGCTATCTTTCCACAATGCTGTAAAGATCTGCTGATCCTAGTATTGAGAATATAGTAATTATAGGTACTCAATAAATGGCAGTCATCGGTATTTAAAAGCGGTAGCCTAAAAACACGGCCGCCCATTTTAAGGCCTAATTCCACCTGCAGAAATTGCTAAATGGCATTCATGTAGGTACTATTAATCACTCTTACATTAGTCTAAAGGTTTTAGTATTTTACAGTTCATGATTACTTTGCTTATTGAGGTGTGAAGGTATGAATGTGTACTTCCTATGGAAACTTAAACACTGTTTATTTAGTTTTCCATACTGTGAAATGATCAGAGGCATAAGAGTTCATAGTAGAACAAAGCACATTAATGATCTGAAAGTTTCCAGAATACTGGTTAGAAAGTAACTTTTAATGGTTCTAGTGCAACACTAAAAAATGCAGTATATTAATGCATTGTTGCTCATATTCGTCTGTATTCTCAAAAATAAATTTTAATAAAAAGACAAAATTTAAATCTTATGTTGAAGATTGCATTTCAAAAGACATTTAAAAAGTTCAATCAGAGAAGTTGATCTCATCAGGTATCATCTGCTAAATGCAATATAAAGCTTTTCAAATGAGATTCATGATCTTTTAAAAGAACACACTTCAGAACAGGGATCTCTGAGGAAAAAAGAAAATCACTAAAAAGGACTCATGATGATTAGTTTTAATTGGCAAAATGGGATGAAAGCATCTTTTTATGTAATAAACTAAAACACAACTACTTACGTTTGTGAGGAAGTCCTGAACTCCTTTCAAACAGTTTTTGTTTAATTACTTTTGTCACTAAAAGAAGTAAAAATCCCATGTCAAGAATTAACATAGAATATGGAGAATTTCTCATTACTTGGAACAAACAACTTCATGAGAAAAAAAAAAATCCAAAATAATACATATTTATAAGTACCAAGTATAAAATATAATACCTTATTATATATTATAAAAATGGGCATTACATTTGAAATGCCTGCTACCAGTTTCCAAGGTGCATTCTTTTAAAACATTCACATTCAAGAAGAATCCCCAAAATAACACATCCTGATAAAAGACATGTGGCTTCTTATTTAAAGGTAATAGTATTTTTATCACATGTCCAGTAATGGTATATATAAAGAAATCTATCAAATTTAAATTTGAAACAAATTAATAGGTTTATCTCTAAAATTATTGTCATTGAAAACTCATAAATTCTTACTTAGTTCTTTGGTTTTCTGCATTTCTTTTTTTAAGAAACGTGATGCACAGGAGATTCCAATGAGATTTTCAAGCTCTCTACTGCCCTCCAAAGCCTACAAGAAAGCCATCTTGAATGAGTTAAGTTCTCTATACATATGACATTACTGACATGTCTAGTGAAAAATACAGTATATTATTTCCTTCATTTGAAAAACTTAAACTCTATGTTAGGATATTTAACTTTTTCTGGCAGGCCAACTATTTCAAGCCCTAAAATGCCTGAATAAAAACAATTTATAATTAACTAAAAAGACGAAACATAATCTACAAATTTATATTTAAATATGAAAAGCCAGATATTACTAAAATATTATGGTTAAATAGTGTTCTCCTATTAAAAAATTCCCATGAAAAGTAAATTAAACATACTCTGTGCAAACTCTTTCCTGGATTGGATTCTCCAATCTGGGACACTCCTTCCTTTTATCCTTTTCAAACAGGGTAGAAGTATGAAAAAATACAAACCCGTATACTACTTAAATTTTGCATTATCGCCATGATTTCTTCTGACAATTTCTCAACTTTAGATAGCAACATCATCAATCTAGTAATAAAGAAAAAGATAGTACTTAGCAAGGGGAAGCATTTAAACATGGCAAGTCATTTTCAAAGCTTTAACTCTTTTTAAAGGACCTTTGACTTAGGTTCTTTCATTCTTTATAAACACAATATATATATTATCAACTGTCCCCTCTTTTGGAGTTTAATTTCCGATTCCCACTGAGCAGTGGAATGGAAGACATAGTTGGCTGTTCCTTTCTCCACAATGCCACAATGAGAACACTAATACACCACCATTCCTTCATTTACCTTGACTGAGTCTATGAATCAGTATCACCTAGTAACTTTTTTTAAAATAAAAAAAGTTTCGTGACTTTATTTTAAATTTGAAAATAAAGAAAAGGAAAAGAGGAAAACATCACTTGGAATTCAGTCTTCTGAACCTATCTCCAGTTATCTTTTTGGAAAAATTCTCCTAGTTTAAAAAAAAAATTGTGTAACTTTGTTATCATGCTTTTTTTTTTCTTTTTATAAAGAAATGGGGTTTACCTCTGTTGCCCAGGCTGAAGTGCAGTGGTATGATCATGGCTCACTGCAGCCTCAACCTCCTGGATTCAATAGATCCTCTTACCTTGTCCTCCCAAAGCACTGTGATTACAGGTGTGAGCCATGGTGTCTGGCTGTGCTTTCTTTACTTAATTTTGGGGGGGCCACATATTAAAGGCTGCACAATATTCTATTTAGTAAACATACTAAAAGTGATTTAACTATTCCCTTACTGTTAAAATTTTAGTTTCTTTTCAAATTTTAAGACCCCATAGCTGTTTGTGATAATCCATATCAACACAGTCTGATAGAAAAATAATGTAAGCCATGTATGTAACTTAAAATTTTTAGTAGCCACATTAAAAGGAATAAAAAAGGTAAAATTTAATAATTTTAATAATGTTTAAATATTTAACTCAATATATTCAAATATTATTTCAACATATAATGAATATAAAATTGAGATATTTTATACTTTTTTCAAATCCAGGTATACTTTACATATTAACAGCACACCTCATTTCATACTAGCCATATTTCAAGTGCTCATTAGCCATGTATGGCTAGTGAGTACTGTTTCAAACAGCATAAATCCATATGGATTTTATGAGAGAAACCAGAAATTCTATTTAAATGCTTTTTCAAGATTACATCAGTGTCATTCATTGACATTTTTGTGCTATTAAAAATAAGACAAATATGTTAAAATTTTGATATATAATGTGTATGTACAGTAAGTTTCAATTAAGTAAAATGTTATCTAAGTATGCAAACAAGAAATGAAGAGTTGATAACATTATTCAAAAGCTAAAAATTATGAGGACAGTGGAATTTTGGGTGAATTCTTTTCTTTAAAAGTTTTCCTTTATTATGTATTTTCAATCAGAAGTCATCTGTCTGAGGCCCTGACTGCTTAACAGGAGAATCTCAGTTTGAGAGATGGTATCATAAAGGAATTCCTTTTCCTTCAAATTGGGTCCAAAGACCTGAAGAAACAAGGACTTAAGGGACTCCCACCCAGGCTGGATCCTCTAGCTTCTCACATATGATGCCAAAGCCTACTGAGTACCACAGGAGTACAAAGTAGAGGCAAATTAAGTTACTTTGCTATAAGAAGGAATCTGAGGGGCTTATTGCCTTGTAACTTGCATCCCTTTCCTGGGAGAACTGGAATAGCAGAGCCTTTTTAAACTGACTTCTATATCTTAAAGAGTTGATGGTACTCCCTGTTCACCTATAGGGAATTGTGTGGGAATGCTGTGGCAGGGCTGCCATCTTGAATGTCTCCGAGTGGCTCTGTTTACATAGAGTTAGATGTAAATTGTGCCCCCAAAAGTTGTATAATGTAGCATCCCCAAAGGACCTACTAGCAGCTCTCCTACATTAAGATAGTAATTGAGGGGCTAAGCTAAAACAAACTGTTTCAACAATCTTGGAGACTTGTATGGATTAAATATCAATTATCTGGGGAAGTTGTTTTCAAAACATCTTTGATATGCTGAAGGTGCTTTCTCAAGGACACTTGTATCCATTGCAGGATCAAGTAGACTAGTAGACATGCCATTGCTCTTCTCATTATTATTCTGATTCCCTTTCCTCTCCTCCTCCTTTTTCTTCTCCCTAGACGAAATCACCTCTTTTTCCCACTTTGAAGGCAACCAAATCCCCATGAATGGTTTTTTTAAGTGTTATACAACTGTTAAATCCTGAAAAATCCTTTTTTTTCAAGGCATTATTTTCCACATCTTCTGAGTCACTGAAGAAGCCTTCATAATCTTTGGAGATAAACTATTTGCTGAGCAGATTTTGGGAGAAATAATTCTACCACTTTCTTCATCCTAGACAAAATGGAATTCTCATAAACATCCTACTTGTGCTGAAAAGTAGATTTCCATTGCTATTGAGAGCCCTTTTCTGTATTTTCAATGCATGGTTCAAATTCCACTTTGTTGCCCTAACATAGCATTATGGTTTGTGTACAGTCCCTTAGTTTTTAACATCATCTTGATGTTCCTTTACTAATTTATGTATTCCTGAAAACTAAGAATCTTTCATTTTTTTCAAGCTGCCTGAAGAATATATTTCTCAAGTTCATTATGAAATTACAAAATTTCAAAGTTATTGTGGCTCTTTCAAGTTGGTGAGTAAAAGTATCATCACTGGTGCCATTCATATTTTACAGAATACTATTTTTTTCTCAAATAGATTTGCCTCTGACTAGATTAAATTGGACCAAATTTTTTTTTTTTTTTTTTTTTTTTTTGAGATGGAGTCTTGCTCTCTTACCCAGGCTGGAGTGCAGTGGTGCAATCTCGGCACACTGCAAGCTCCACCTCCTGGGTTCATGTCATTCTCCTGCCTCAGCTTCTGGAGTAGCTGGGACTACAGATGCACGCTGCCACACCCAGCTAATTTTTTGTAGTTTTAGTAGAGATGAGGTTTCACCGTGTTAGCCAGGATGGTCTTGATCTCCTGACCTTGTGATCTGCCCGCCTCGTCCTCCCAAAGTGCTGGGATTACAGACGTGAGCCACGCCTGGCCCAAATCCTTTATCTTATAATGATCCTTTGAGCCATCCAGATGTCAATGGGCCACTACATCCAGATATCCAGTGACTGTCGCCAGTTTTATGGCATCCTTACAAGATTTAATCAAATCTGCATTGTGGTCAAAGACTATTGTAGCACAACCTGAGAAATCTGAAATCTTGGTCTTCCTTGAATTAACCTTCTTTTTCATAACTAAAAACCAAGCAGCATTTTTTGTTTTTTTTTAAGCATCTAGTAGTTTTTCTCTTGAGGGAGCTACATGTCAAAATTCAGGATTTTCAGTGCAGTTTTCCAATTTGCTTAGAAGAGTTGCATTGTGAAATTCAGAGTTCTTTCACGTTCCTCAAAGAGAAAGTCCTTATTCTGAAAAACAACTGAAATTAGGTGCAACAGCCAAATAAAATCCATGAGAAGCACTGGATGTATCCATTAATTCTGCTTTTCCTTCCTTCTATATTAACTTCTTCAGTCTCAAGTCAGGGGTAACTTGACTTTCAAAACTATCATTCTGTACCAGTTCAGGATTTTTCCTATCTTGGCCAGTTTCAATTCTTTCAGTTATTTTCCATTCTTAGCTTCAAATTTAGTTTCATCATTTACTTTTTCTCTATTAAGTCCCTCAGAAGTATTCTGAGGAGAGAACTAAAAGAACAAAGAGAAACTGTTATTAAATTGGTGCTTCTAATTCAGATTTATTGAGGCAGGTGTTAGCAAGCATTAACTCAGCTCCTGCTATGTGCTGTGCCATCCTAGATGTGAAAGAATGAGAAGCAAAGGAGTAGAGCAAATGAAAAAAGAACCCAGTGATTTATAGATTCCCTAGGATGCAAGCCATGGTACTTACTGTACTGTGTAGGCATTATGGATATACTGGAAGAAGAGTGAAAACCTGTAAAAGCCATGATAATGGCCTGAAAAAAATCTTGATTTCCCTCCTTTTTTGTAACTTCCAATTGTTTGATATATATCTTGCTTACCAGATTGTAAGTTCCATGAAGGCAAGGGTGGTATCTACCTTATTTACTTTTATAACCTGTGTTAACTAATAAGGTGCCTGCAGGTGTGGTAGGTACCCAGTAACTATTTGATGGATCAATGAACAGAAGAAAAAAGACCTAGTCCAGTGACCATCCATCCCTAGAGTCAAGTGAAGTATGCCCATCCTGCAGTTTTCTCTCTCTTTTTTTTTTAACTTCCTTCTCCTATTGTCTTATGTAGTCTCCATGATTCATCAGTTATATTGCTGACAAAGTTAATTAATTCAGTTCCCTAACCTTCCACCACATATGTCTTTCTCACAGGTAACCCAGGATGTCCATATTTGTTTTCTTTGCTCCTAGCCTAAGCTGTGAGTACTATGGGCGGGGGGGGGGAAGCCTCACAGTAGAATTGACAGTCAATATTAGAAGTATGATTTTGCTGAGCACCCAATGCTGCTTAACTCTCCATTTACTTAATTTAATGAATCTTCTTAATTTCTGCTCAACATGACAGCCTAACCCAATCTCCACTTCCTCCATATTAAAACTAAACTCTTATATTTATATTTCTGCCTTAGTATTTTTAATACAGTATTCTCAGAGGCCACAAATACACCCCTAATTAATTCTATTACTAAAAGCTATTATCTGAAAGTTATTACCTCTAAGAAATTGTACTTTTATAAATCTCAAGACTTGTGCATTAAATGTACATAACAAGGATGAATTCCTTAGGTTCTTCTAAATCTTTACAATACTACAATTCACGCAGAAAAAGGTAAATAGGTCACCGAATCTCCATCTCCCTCAACCTAAACTGATAATTTTGGATGATAGCTGAATTATGAAAACAATGAAATATATTGTTAACATTTTTTTAATGCTTTCTTAGTTTAAGGCACTATACTTACTACTTTACAAACTATATCTTAAGTTTCAACACAACTATCCGTGGGAAATATTGTCTC